TTGTCAAGGCTTCTTTTATTGGCACTTGGGTGAAGAGGGATATGACATCGAAGCTCACTAGTAGGTCGCTGGGTTGTAAGTTTTGTTTCTTTATGATCTTGATGAACTGGAATGAGTGTATAAGGCAAAGGGGTGGCAAACTTGAATTGACAATTAAAGGGGAATTTTGGAGTATTAGAATTAGGATGGAACCTATTGAACAATGAATGGAATAATAGTATGTGGTAAAATTGCAAATATGACAGATAAAAGTAAATATGTGTAATAAATATAGAAATGAAATAAGAAACTTAGATTATATTGTAAAACAAGATACGAGAATATTTAAAGAAAAATCAAGTAAGTTATGATGTGAATCAGAATTGGATAAAATATAAAAATATTTGAGAATATTTAAAGGAAAATGGAATAAGTAATAATATGATATGAAACTGAATATGAAAGATGAATATGTAATTGGGTTCATGTTTGTCTTGAAATGTAAAAACCTGGAACCACATTGTTCACTAAGAAATGTTTTTTAAAATATAAAAATAAAAAAATATTAAAAAAAAGAATAAATTGCAAAATGAGGATATAAAAGCAAAATTAAAATATTAAGAAAAAGTAGAAAACTGAACAGATTGGATGGCATTGATGATTTCTCAAAAGGACAATGGTAAGAATGAAATAACAAAAGACAATGTAGTAATTTATAAATGGATGCTACAACCATAGTTTGCAAGGATATGAAGATATGGAAAAGTATAGTGAACAACAGTGGAAACGAGACTTAATTAAGTATCCTTCTTCCTTTTATCTCTTGCTTTTAATTTCTTCGGCTTACTATGCCTTATTCTTTTTCTGTCCTTTGCAGTATGTTGTGTGCAGTTTCCTATGGATTTGCTTTCAGCCTTAGTTTCCCAAAACTCTCTTTGCAGGCTACGACTAAGGAACAGTTCCAAATATACAGTATCCCACAGGTTGCTCTACTACAAAACCACACAGATACCTCCTGGTTGTGTGTTCCTCAGCTGAAATTGTTGTTTGCTCATGAAGGGTCCTAAGTGATGCCAGTGCCCTCATGAAGCATAATGGCTTCATCTAAATAATTCTGCACAAATCCTACAGCACTTACTGAGCCCATAGTCTGCTTCATCTGGATCGCTGTCATGTTTCCGCCATCTACAGCATATGTGCTGAAATATCATGGTCATGTGACTGAAGATGATTAGTGGAGGGGGTAAGACTGGTCTTTCATGGAAGGTCATAATAAGCTGATATCTCTGAAACTTCCATACCTGGTTTGATATAGACTTAACTTCAAAAAACGTGTTGCTGAAATAGGAATAGAAAAAGGAACAGGCGTTTGATAAACCGCTGAATTCTTTGTTTGCATATGCAACATTGGGGTCTGTTTTACACATTGAAAAAAAATAAATTTCAGGCTGTATGTACAATTAGCATCTGCGGTTAATTCCAACACTCTTTTTGATGGACTACTCATAGCAACTTCTGTTATGTATACATTGCTACACTGTTTATTTTACTCATATATACCATCGTTGATTTTTGCATAAACATATTAGGAGATAGTCTACTTCTAAAAGAAATATCAATTCACTTGGGTATTTAAATGTAATGGCTTATAGAAACCAATTTCCAAGATTTTCCTTTGATGAACACTGGCCATTGCCTTAAGATTATTTCAGTAGCATGGATGCAACAACACAACAACCTCCATTCTTTCCCACTTCACTAAGACAGCCAGAGGACCTCAAGTGCAAGTATAAGCACTGAAATTCTGAGTTAAATTTGGACTTGGGGAAAAATTTGAGGTGACTATCTTGTTTGATGGCATCCAGTAGAAGGCTGTTCCTCACTACTGAGATAGATAACTGGAGAATACAACTCAGTATTTTACCCTAACCTGATGTCTTGGTCAAACAAACTAGGTGATCAAACTCTTCAGGTATATATTCAGGCGATCAAACTCTTCAGGTATATATTCAAAAATAACATAAATTGGAAATCTTTATTTGTTTTTTCACATCATCTGTAGCTTGGAAGATTAAATTTTACTCTAAAATGCAGACTCTTCTTTTATTCAAAAAATAAAATATGGTTCCATCTATTTTTATCAGTTTATGAATTTAAACCTGATTGAATATGAAACACATCTGAGTTTTTAATTACAGCGAATTTACCTATAACACAATCCAAACTTTAATACTATATGTTTATTTCTATAACTGGGTGTTCTTGTTGCTGTAGAATGGGGCAAAGATTCTTCAGAGTGCATAGATGTAGCCACTGTCTGCAATTCTTTAAAACAGCTACATCTTTGTCAAGACATCCATAGTGCCTATAGAAGTGACTAGCTATTCAAAAGTGCTGAATGGTGCTGAATGAATTGTATGTGATTGGTCTTCCAAGTTCTAGCCATCACAGCACCCCTGCAATCACCTATATTTCAAAATCTTAGAAATCTCTGGACATATACCCTCTTGCAAAAGATATCCATGATCGTGTACTCTAAAACTCTGTCATGGGATACTTACATTTTTTACTACTGCAAATAATTTCTGTTGGTAGATGCTTTAAACCAGTCTGGTGATAAATATTAAAAAGTTTGGCATCGCTGCTATGGATGGAGGAGAAAAATATAAAATATTTTATCAACTCACTTAAACACTGCAATCAGTAAGTTCACCAGAAGGATGTTTGCAACCAAAAGATAGCAAGCCATTATGGCAGGAACGATCCATGCTCCGGTTTTGCAGGGAGGAAGCTGAATTATTTTACCATCTTCTCTAGTTTCATTCTGACCACAAGGAGCTGAGGAAAAACAGGTGAGAGGAGGTGAAAGAAAATAAATTTTAAGAAGAAATTATTGCAGAACATACTGCATTTCATAATCTTAGAGAAGTTTCTGGACATCTGCCCTCTGCAAAGATACTCATGATCAATGTACTCTAAAACTCTTGTCATGGAATACTTACATTGTTTTCTATTGCAAATACTTTTTGTTGGTAGATGCTGTAAACCAGTTTAATATTTGCCTAGTTTGGCATTTCTGCCAATTTCTAGATATTTATTGTGTGCTTTGAATTTTTACTCTCTTAAATGTGCTAGGAACTGATAAAAACACCTGTGTGAAATGTTATTTATACATCCATTTGCTTTTTGGTAACTAGGATATATCAGTAGTATCAAACCAGAGTACATTAAAAAAGGAACGTTTGATGAATATAGTATATATGAGTAATACATGTAGACTCACAATAGGATTTTTGTTGCCACCTTATTTTAGTTCACTTTAGGATATTTAACAGTATTCTAGAATCAAATGTGAATAGACAGGTAAGATTTATAGGCAACAGAGCAGATATTTTAATTTATTTTGGGTCACCAGCTGTTTAAAAAGAACAAAGGACAAAATGTCAGTTTTCTCATGCTGATATAGTTTAGACAATATACCTTCTTATTAATTAACTGAAGTTTTAAATTGGGATGACTTTGGCTATTTTTGTTCACCCAAACTGCAACTACATTCCTCACCAATACTGTAGATCAGTTTGTTACTTTTAGGAAGTGTCACTGGTGCAAGGAATGCTATTCCTCTCTTATCCCTAGTTATTTTCTCACACATTCCCAATATAGCAGTAAATAAGGAGAAATTGTAGAACAAGAAAGCATTCAGTAAATTAATCTGTTCAAGAAGTGAAAGAATGTTTAGCAGATGCAGACTCAATTCATATCACAAGATCCATGAGAAACAAAATAATTTTTCCCCTCCCCTCAAAATTAATAAAGATACTGAAGCTCAGATTGCTTTTGATCCCAGATGGGCAAATCTGCCTGGTGCAAATCAAAGAAAGGGAGAAGAGCTTTCCATTGTTGAAATTTCTGAGTGAGGCTTTGGTGAACTAAGACATCTCAGGAGAAGTGGAAATGATGCATTGGCAAAGACCAAAGAACCAGTGATGAACCTTCTTTAACAGAATCTTTCCAGGTAAGGAGAGGATTTGCCTACTTATGCTCTAGATAGCTATTCCTTTTGAGGAGACCCTGGGAGAGCAGTCAATACACGGGTCTGAGCACTGGGAGGTAAAGAAAGCCATCAAATTCTCAAATCTAAGGACACTAGATCCGCCTTCCTTTCTAAACATGTTTTTAAAGTTAAAGGAGAACTTCTAAGCAGAAAGTTTAAAAAACTATCTTGTGATGATAGAAGAGAATATTTGTAGCTCAGTGTTGAGCTGAACTGAACTGAACAGAGAGCACCAAGGATCCCATACTACCTAATGAGTAAAACTTCATCCGCTAAAAGAAAAATTAAATAACAGTTTAAAGAATGTAAAAATATAAAATAAAGGACAAAAAGATAAATAAGGTAATTCAAGAAAGTTTTAAATAGATTAAGGGACCAGAAGAATTTAGAATATTGGAACTTTTGCTAAGATTTGTGAAATAACAAGATAAATAAAATGATATTTTTGATGGAATCTAAATTGTTTAATTTATCCGGGAAGAGATGATTGCTGAGATTTTATAGAAATTTGAATTAAAGTTCCAAGTTGGGAAAAAAGAAAGAGACAAACTGTTCTTTATTCTTTATTTTCAAGAATCCATATTTTATTATGAATTTGAAAGAAAAGTACTGAAGCTCATAAATTGATAGATATAAGTATGACATTAGATATATTTCAAAGGTTCTTTGAAGAATTGGGAGAGAAACTTAAACTGACAGCAATAATTATTACTAATGCATTTCTTGAAAAGATTCTAAAAAAATAAAAAAGTAAAATGGAAGAATTTACTGACAGAATGAAGAGGTGAAACAAATTCCAGCTGATATAGAAATGTTGGGAAATAAAGGAATTATGGATTATAAAACAGAGTTAAAATGGAAATACAAATGATAAGTGAAGAGATGAAAAATCACAAGGACAACGATTTTTAATGGGTTTACAAAAGTGGGTTTCTAAAATTTTTGAGATGGGAGGAAGAAAGTTTAAATACAGTTTCAAGCCCACAACAGCGACCGTATGATGTAAAGATTTAGATAATTGTTAGAGCAAAACCAATCAATCAATCAACCAACCAACCTATCAAAAAAGGAATAAAAAGTTGGCTGTTTGATTAAGGGTAAAATAAAATATACTGCTGGAACCCTTTATGGACTTTTTGTCAGTACTTGGAAAAAAATGACAATGATTTTTAAATTTGTGAATGGAAAGGAGAGTTATACCGGTAGTAAGAAGTGGATTATTTTTATAATTTTATAAGAGGTGGGCCAATATTAAATTTGCTTGTATTTATTGCTGAGTAGAATAAGAATCACTTCCTAAAATATTCTTTTTTTCTATTTCCATTTTATTTATTTTCTTTAACTTTTTGCACTTTGTATTTCCTTTCTTTCTACTTTTCTGGTTTTTTTTTCTCTATGTTGCTTTGTATTAATTTTGTTACAATCCTTAATATAACATGTTTTTTTAAAAAAATGAATTGTTCTTATAGGTGTAAGGGGAAAAAGAAGCACAGTTCAAATTGCTGCACAGAATATTCAGAATATTGAAAATCAGTTTTGTATCATGATACTTGTTCATGACACCTGTTTTTGAAAAGTCAATAAAATATTATTTACTTATTTTGTGCCAGATAATCCTCCTCTCCCATCATTCATCTTTTTGTGTCATGTTAATTAAATTGTTTCTATGGGTAATAAGTGACCTCTAGAATGGGTGTCAGGAAAAGAATGAGGTGAATTGGCTGTGATAACCTACTGTACTTATCAAGCTAGTTGTTTGACTTGGATCACATATTAGATTATAACATGATATGCTATTGATGGATTATTTCTCTAGAAGGAGCAGGACTTTCAGAAGGGGCCACATTTGGATAGCGTGTAGAGCACACATATGTTTTAATGAGCAATTTGTTTGATTCTCGGCCCTCATAAAATATGATACTTTGTTAATGTGTGAAATGAATACCTTAAAAATGAACAGATATTGAATCATCTTTATGAGCAAATGCATGGCAAATTACAACATGCAACCAGTGCTTAATTATGATAAATTTATGTATAAAACATGTCTCTAAAAATTACATCTGATATTAGTAAATGAATTCTGTCCTGAAACAGGAATAGAAATATGCACTGTGCAATAAGACTGAATTATTTCTACCATGAAGTTCTAACAAAGGATTTAATTCACTAATATTTGATTTACATGCTGTTAAATTAACACTCTATTTTAGCTTTCCTTTGAGTTTAAAAGGTCAGTTTCATTATACATTAATAATAATTATAAATTAAATATACTATGAAACTATTGACATGACCTGTCTGGTGAATAAAAGATAATAGAATTTGATTATTAGGAAGATTTTATTTTATATTTATAAATTACAAAACCTGTGATGTATGTTTATATTTTTCTTTTGTTAAGACTGATGGTTCAAGCAACAAAGTCATTATTATCACCTACTCAAAACATTAACATTTGAGAATAGTTAGACTTTTTCAAGAAATAACTGTATTAAAATAAAGCAATTCTGAATACACTGTTAAATTATTTATTTTTTAAATAAAATTTATTTGTTGCCACCTTGCATCCAACAATTCTGGGAGGTTTACAACATAGAAAAACATTAAAATAATATGTTGTAAAAAAAACATAGCAGATAAAATCATGGACACAAAATGGCAAAGAGGGGAGCCAGACACAAGGGGAGGTGGAGGTGGGATTGAATTTAATTAATCAGCCACCTTCAGTATCAAGCTCCCCCACTAGGTCCCCAAGTCCCCAAGCCATATGGCAGAGTCAAGTCTTGAAGCTTTTACTAAACTTCAGGAGTGTGGCAACCAATCACACCTCAGGGGGTAAGATGTTCCAGAGATTAAATAATAATAATCTTGATTTTGAAATAAATCTTGTTTTGTTATTGACCTGTGCTTCTCATTCTAATAATTGAGCCTTTACAGCAGGGGTGTCAAACTCAATTTCAATGAGGTCATCAGGGTTGTGTTTGACCTCGGGGGGGGGTGTATCATTCTGCATTGTGCTTCTTTTTCCTTCCAGATTGTTTGTGTAGTTTCTTACTTCCTCATAAAGATAATCCCTCATGTCTAGGCCAGGTTATGTGGACTGGCGGCAGCAGCAGCTTTGGTGATGGGGAAGGAAAACTTTTGCATGCACATCCAAAATCTCATGCCTGTGCAAATAAAGCAGTTTGCCCACTGCTTCAGCAGCCCATTAACAGGCTGTGGCCCAAGGTTTGGGACCCCTGGTCTAGCCTCTTCGGGAAAGTCAAACCTTTCAATCTACATTTGTGTGTGAGTTAAGCATAAGTGCCTCAAATGCATATTTACATAAAATATTGTTTCTCCAATTCTAAACAAAAAAAAAATTAGGACACCTTAACCTTTTTTAATGTAACCTATGTGCAGATCTGTGAAGAGAGGCTGGTGCTGGTTCAGAGTATGTGATCAGTATGTGACCATTCAGCAGCATAAATGTATTTTATATAAAACTATGTCTATATTAATCGAGAAACACTACTTCTAGAATCCTACAATTTTGCCATATGGGACTCCAATGTTTTAAATTGAATACTGGGATTTTTTTTTACTTTGTTATTGCTCTCCTAATAATATAGCCAAGTGGTGAGTAAAGGTTTTTTATCTTATGCTGGAAGTGTTTGTAAAGTGCTAAAGAAACAGTCTTCTCTTCTACTCAGATGAGAAGGTCAGTAGATGGTGAAGAAGAGGAGATATAAATTCATGCATAAAGATGTGAATGGAAAAAGATCCTGCGTATTCCAATTGTTCTGCTGTTTTTTATTTTAATGCATTCAGGAGGGGAAAAACAGTTTATGAATCTGTATATTAAACGTATTGCAGTATATTTCTCTAAATACTGGCTCCACACCAGTAAGGTTTTCCACCATGGTGGTGGGAATAAAATAATTTGCTGTTGTTTTCATACCAATTGTGTGTGGTACTAGCAGGTCTTGCCAGACATAAGAAATAATTCAGGCCAATTTTTTTTCTCATGTTGTGATCAAACTTAAAAAAAAATCACAGATGTAACAAATATTTAACTAATAAAGATTAACACAGCTGCTAGGATAGAGATAAACATCTGAGTTTAAAAAATCCATAAAAATCCTCATAGTGATAATGTGAACATTTATTGAAGACCTGTTGCCTTTCCAATTAATTGCTGAATTTTAGTGGAGCAGATACTAAGCAAACATGAATGGATTTTAGTTTATTTGTCTCTGAATGAGAGATAGTTTGGGCTAATAACCAGAAAGCTGGAGTTTTAGTCCTGCCTTAGGCACATAGCCTGCTGGGTGACTTTGGTTGAGTCACTCTTTGTCAGTCTTATAGAAAGAAGCCCTATAGAAGAAACAAACCACTTCTGAAAATATTGCCAAGAAAACTAAAGTTGTTATATCAAACATGACTCAAAAGCACACTCAATCAATCATTGTTAGCATGAACAGCAAGCAATCAGAATTATATTGGATAGCAGCCCATCATGATTTCAGGTAGTTTTCTCATCCTATGCATATCTTAAATGGTCTGGGCAAGATGATAGGGTATCTAAATTGCCTATTATTCCCTGATGGCTAACAATTTTTCAAAATACCATTCAGGATTTTCTTCCACACTGCCACTTTGCTTTATTACTTAAAACCCTTTTAATTATAGACATGAAGGGATCACTAAGCTGTGTTCTCTTCCACATCAACAGTGAGAAGTCTAAAAAACCAGATTCCACAAGTCTCAAATAGTTATATATTCTTCTGACTTTAAGAATGACAATTTCTATAAGTGAAGCTCAAAACTTAACAGTACAATCCAGCAACACATATTGTTTTTCCTATTCCAAAAGAATTTAAACGTTTATCTACTGATACCCCATCACCAGAACCCAATTACAAAAAACATGCATTGGCCCAGAAATCATTAAATGCTTTGTTTAAAAAAAAGTGATGAGGAATATAGAATATATTCATTGAATGGAGAGGCTGCCAGTTGATGAGACATTGATTGTTAACCTGGACAGCCAGATTTCATGCTTCACATACCAGTACATAAGAATGAAACAAAAAGACAAACCTATCTTAGAGTCTTACATAATACTTGGTATATTTCTCAAATTAAGTGAAATATTTTATAAAATTAAGATCAAACAAATATTGAGAGATATGTGGGTTTTAAAAGGAACCCAGAATTTATAACTAGTAACAAGTAATACCAATGCAAAGGAAAGGAAGACCTGAATCTATGTATGTATAGCATACACTTTTAAATAAATGGTACTGAACTCTAAGATAGATGGATTGATAATTCAGAAAGATAATAATTTGCATAGTAAGTTGTTGCTGATTTAGCTTAGGCTACTGTGGAGACTAACAGCTGTACATTTTTTTTCAAAAAGTGAGAAAATAGTACCCTAAATAGATAAATAACAATATGTGATTTAATATCCTCTATTTCTGTGTACAAAGATACACATTGTTCCATGACACATCAATAATAAATAGATTGAACATAAAATATACAGAAGCAGAAAGATGGACTTACAAGTCCTAGATTAGCAGTTAGCATCTATTCATTTTCTATCCTCAGATGTCAATTTTTCGTATCTTGGGACATTTTCTGACTTTTACATAACTTGATTGAACAAAATTATCCTTTAAATGAAGTCAGACTATATTCGTTCTTTATGCATCTTGGATTTGTATCCTATATCTATATTAGAAACAAACACTATCCTCTGGCTATTTTGCCAAGCAATTAGCCAAAATCATAAGGATTTTGAATAGGCTGCTTGCATTCCACAAATGCTGACAAATTCTGCCTTCTCTGTTTGGATGCTGAGGTTAAAACAACTTAGGGATTCAATTAATTTTCAATTAATTATCATCAAGTCCTCCAGAGGAAGGTGATACATGGGCTTTGACAATCTGACTTTTGATAGTACAGTATGAAGCACTCCATGCTGAAACAATCATTTCTACAGCTTCATTAGGTGTTCAGTCAACGGTGTATGTTAAAACAGATGTAATATATAGTTTTCTATAATGGGTTTAAACATATGCTCGTCTGTTCAAAGAGAACTACAGCATGCTCTGTTTTTGTCATTTCCATTCTCCATTTCCAGGGTTCTAAACTAGAATCAGCACACGGCAAGAAAAAGCATGTTTTCCTCAGCCAAGTTGCTGTGGAACATGTTGCATTATGCCAGTAGATTTTTTTTTTCAGTACAACAGCAATAAATGGCCACTTGTAGAGGAACAGACATTTTTGAAAAGAAATTCCACAGTCTGGGATTCTACTTCTCTCCCACTTCTTGGCTTTCCTAAACCCCAAATACATAAAAAAAGGAAATATGTAGTCAAGCAGAAAGTTAAAGTCACTGAAGGACTTTTGTTCATTTGAATTCCGCATTATAACTGAGAACAAAAAGGAAGGATAATTTGCAAAAGGAAAGAAATAATTGGTTTTTTTTGTCTTTCTTTCTCTTTGGAGAATGATATGGGTTTCTTTTATCAATAGTAGAAAGGAAAGAGTACATATAAAGGCATTTCAGCAAATGCTTCCTTACAGTGGGCATATAAAATGAGAAAGAGGTTAAATAAAAATGCAGCAAAAATGTTTTTTTAAAAAAACCCTAAAATCTGAATAATTGGGGAAACCAATTAGCTTCCCTCTTTCTATATTTTATGTAACTGAATTTTGCATGAGCTAGATCAGGGGTGTCAAGCTTGATTTCATTGATGGCTGCATCAGGGTTTTGTTTGACCTCGGAGGTGGGGGAACGTGACCAGGGTGGGGATAGCTAGCATGACATCATTCATGTGGGGGGCACCTGTGGTGGCCCGAGTACTCTGCCAGTGAAAGCAGGCTCCAGAGCTCGGTTTTTGGCTGCAACGGCCTCCTGAAACCCTCTGCCAGTGAAAACGGAACTCAGGAGGGCCGCACGTGTCCCAAGCAAGATCTGCTTTCACTGGCAGAGGCACTGTGAGCTGGTCTTTTGCTGTTTCCAGTGCAGCACCACAGGCCAGATCTAAGCACCCCATGGGCTGAATCTGGCCCCCGGGCCTTGAGTTTGACACTCCTGAACTATATTATAGAAGCAGACTCATTCCTGAAAGAAGATCTGATATCCCAACAGATCTATGGAAATAGCTGAAAAAGTTTCCAACTGTGCTCAGAGTGAATTTGGACCTTTAAATGCCACCCTTGTGCTCTCAAGCAGAAGAGGTGAGTTAACATGCCTGCATGTGCACACTCTTCTTGTTCATTCCTACAGCTCCAAAATTTCATATGACCATGATCTAGTCTGGCACATTACACAAACAACCACCAGGAAATGCATTATAAAGGAACTATAATGTTTGCAAAGGGCCAGGCAAATGAATTCTTGCAACAACATATGTGGAAAAAGATTCCAGGTTTGGAACACAAAAAATGAAGTTTCGTATTTGTGTAACACTCTCAGGCTTCTCCCAGGTAATACGAGGTGAAATTCGTGGAATAGCCTTGTAATATAAATCATCTTAATATCTCTAAATTACAATTAGAGAAGTTGAGAATGAGAGAGTGATTTCTTAAGGACACCTAGTGATGGCAAACGATGAATTTGATCCAGGGAATTCACAGGTTGCAGCCTTAACCCTTAACATGATACCTCATCAATTCTAAATAAAGTACAAAGTGGTATACACTCCTTATTCAATACATAAACAACATTTACAATATATTTTAAAATAACTATTATTTTACTAATATACCAAAACAGGGTGGTTGAAATAGGTCAAAATATGGCATAAATCAGTATAATGTCACTGTAACTTCAATACTGGGTAAAAATTTAGAACTGGTGCAGTAGCTTCTAGAATTGAATGGTCTATGAGCAAACAGGGTTTGTACATTCCACCATTAAGTTAATGGATGGCAACTGATATAATCTGTACTACAAACTTAATCTGGTTAAGACTCCTCAAATATGGACCTCATTGAGGAGTGCTTGGGACCTCTTGGCATTACTAGTGATTCTCAGGGAAAGGCAACTATTAATTAAAATAGTAAAACACTAAAGTAGATGTGTACTTTGAATATGATTTATAGGTATTAAAAGTGAAAAAAAAGCAGCTTGGGTGGTATAGAAATGTTGATTTTACCTTCTGAGATTAACATTTTAAATATATCATACTTTCCTGCAATGTTTGAGTCCTCTATCTTGAGCCATTTATTGAGAGTGTTAACAATAATCATGAAAGACATCACCGATCAAAGTTTGATACCTGACTTTGGTGTATGAGAATCATAAACTTGCTTACGGTCTATCTGGTCTGCAAACACTTCCCCATAGATCATCCAATAGGGCATGTAAAAAATATTTTTTGCCAGTTTCCATGATGGCTCTTCGTTGGGGAAGAGAATTGCTTGCCTTGCAACACCAAAACTCATCAGAACCACCAACATAATAATGACAAAATACATCATGTCTATCATCTGAAAGAAAAGAAAAAAATTACAGAGACAGAGAGAAAGAAAGCCACTTTATTCTGGAAAAGAAATAAATCAACTTGTATATAAATCATAAATCGTCAAATGATTTAAACGTCTGCATATTAACATGCTATTTAAAGTGCTTGGCTTGTCATGGTAATCTTCAAGTACTTGTGCTGGATCTTTGGCTATTACAATATTATGTTCTGTTATGTTGAAGATCTTTTAATCATGCACCATAATAAATCCCAAGTCTTCGTGCAGAAATATTACATTTTAAAATGGTATAAATTTTTTCTTTCCATTTTTAACCCAAAGGCAGAAATACAGGGTGCAAAATGAATACAAATTCTGTGGGTTTTGGGGGACTATTATTGATTGTTTCTGCTTCTGCTTCTTTCTAAGTGAGTTAATAAAATCTGTTCTACCTATCAGTCATCTATCTATCTGTTCACACACACACACATGTAAAGGCAAACATTATGTGACTTTCAGTTTCAATACAGAAAAAACTAGCCCAACACAAAGCATAGCATAGCATAGCAACTACTTGTTCCTTTGTTCTCGGATTAAACAGACATGCAATCAAAATTTTACTCCTATCATTACTGGAGTGCTCCTAACTTTTAACAAGGGCCAAATCAAGTACTGCCTTTTATTACTTTTTTATTGCATCACCTCACATGTTTATGTTTTGTGAGGAATTAATTGCTGCCCATGAATATGCGAATCAGTCCTAAATTTTACTTTAAAGTCTCATTACTTGAACAGGTTTACTCTAGCCTGCAAACCTTATATTTCTGTCACTCCCAGTAAAATTCTATGTTTCCACATTTCTGTGAGAATATGATGTAATATAACTTTCAAATATCACTGAGGAACTCATCTCATTCCATCTCAAGAATGCTTTAAGGCTTTCTTTACAAAGTAAATCAAAGATGAGGTATGCATGACAATAAAAATAGATGCATATGGATTGCCCTTTTTTGATATGCATGAAAAAATAAATTGTTTTTTTCTCTGCAATGGGTGTGGAACTGTGCACACATTTGTTGTTTGGCCTACTATGGCCTAAGCTACAATTAGCACTATCAAATGAGTCAGTTAACTAAGCTGCTTCGGTAGATGTTGGAATAAATCAACATGCCAATGGTGTTCAAATGGTACTCCAGATGTTTTGAAATTGCACTCAAAGTGCCTTTTACTATTAGTCCTATCTTTTTTTTGGGGGGGGGGGGCACAGTTGTTCCTCTTCCATTTTCAGGTCTTTGCATTTTGTGATTCTCCCTCCATCCCCCAGTTTTTTCTCTTCTATTCTGCTGTTTCTTAGTATTTGCTTTTTGTTGTTGTTGTTGTTATATCCCTGACTTTGGTTTCATTGCTAATCTACCACTTTAAATAACCCAGTTTTATATCAAATTAAATAGCTTAGTTTTTATATTTATTGCTTTTCCTCACATCTCAACTCCTTACTCTTATCGACTCTACTGAAATGTATTATTCCTGCATAATTCAATATTAGACATGCAATGAAGGCTCTGTGATAAAGACATTCCAAAATAATGAATAAGGGTGGTAAGAGATTTGCTGCCACTTAAAATACTCCATCTCTTAAATAGCAAGGGAAGACTTGAATGATCTGAATTAATTTTTACCCCACGTCCATCTGTGAGGTCCATATCATTTTACTGAAATGTGTATCACATAGCTTAGCAACCTTTCCCAAACTTCCTCTGTACCCTCACTGTAGACTGTGGTTATTCCTAACTATCCTAGCCTATATGCAAAACAGATTAGGGCTATTTCTATCCCATTCCCAGATATTCATAGTTTGAGTGACATTTGAATGTATCTGTATGTGTTTTCTATAAAAATAGTGAGTATAATGCTGCTAACAATTTTAGGCTTGTAGTCCTAATTAGAAATTCCATAGAATTCTGTTTGAATCAATGATCCAAATAACTTTGATAAGGACAAGAAAAAATGCACAAGCCTTGCCAACAAAATATATCTTTTCTCAAACTGAATACTACACTATAACAAAAGGAAGCTGCATCACACAGAAAAGTACTTAAAAGATTCACTCTAAAGATTGTATGAAACTAGTACCACCTTCTACTGTTTTCGCTTATAACATGCAGAACAAAAAAGAAGGATGGGTAACTTTTTCTTACCATTTTCCCAATCATCATTACATATGGCCCCAAATATTTGTTCACCCCGAAGATGTCTAACAATCGGATATACCAGTAAATAATGTTGACACAATATATGACACGTCCATCACTCCTGAATGGCAGGTCCTGAAGGCGAAGCACCATGCCCACCGAGAATAAGAGGATGGCGATAAGATCGGTAACATTCCAGTATTCTTGAAGCCACACCTTCACCTTCTGCAGTAGTTTCCCAGGTTCCGACATTAATATCTAGAGATGGAAAAAGAATAGCTTTTGTATCAAAAATAATATGATGAATGATTTGACAACTAGGCCCTGGATTATAATATCACGACCTATTCAAGGGATTACCGCAAGTCTTATAGAATATGGACATAAGAGCCAGCTAAGTAAGGCAATGTGAAATAGCCTCCTTGGTTTTGTAACAGAATTTTTATAATACAGAGAGTTATAGGACTCTTGACTCTTTCCACTCACCTCTTGTCATTCAACTTTACATGATCTGTACTTGAGGTCTATTCCTACCATTAGTACAGACTTAGACATATACATATACTGTGTGTGTGTGTGTGTGTGTGTGTGTATCCTGAATGGATACCATGTAGAGTATCATTACTGTACGAACAAAATATTTCAGGATCTTCTTTCAGTTTGCCTCCTTGTAATACAGACAATTTTCAGCTAGAATCAAGGCTTCTGAATGCTTTGTGAAAACAAACATAGCATACAATGGCCATTGCATGAAGACACGAATGCTTTCTCTGTTCACGTCCCTGCAAGCTATCTCTATCAGATAGTATGCCTGAAGTAATAAGTGACTTATTTCTTCTTTTTAATACAAGGCAAGTGCCATAATTAAAAAGTGTGACTGAAAGATACAAACATTGGTAAGTTTCTCAAGTCAGGCATGCATTAACATTGCTTTTGTTACGGCTTTTCTCAATCTGGTGTCTTGTGAAGTGTTGGATGTAATAAATGCCACTCTGAGGCATTTTCCAGAGTAAATATGCATTTCAAATTTTCCCTATTGGGAAACATGCAAATTATATGCAGGGGAAAGGATTACTGTTTTACAGATAAGCACAGATAAGCATGAAAGCTCACTGTTAAATTTTACTTATTGATATACTATAAAATCATATAACTTATGGTTGTTTTATAAAAGTAATAACTAAATGAGGCATCAGTAGTCAGTTAAATAAAATCAATTTGTATATACAATTCTGTCACAATAGCTATAGGTGCCCCTAGATACCAGAAAATTCTTATAGTTTGCTTAAAAGAGAAAGTACTGTGGACACTGGATTGGACTTTTAAGTGTCAGTTCCAGGAGTCTTTTATTCCACTGGATGTTCTTGCAAACAGAAACATTGTTACATTTTTTCCTGTTTTCCCTTCCTGATGTGATTTCCATTATTTTTAAGTATCTCAGATCTTCACAGCACCTACAGAAAACCAGCCAGAGCCAGAAAAAACCTGCATTCTGTTGATGATAGTATCCTATCTTGTTTACAGTAAGATTGATATTTAGGAAAAAGCACAAGGAACAACTGCCTTTAGAATAGTATTACCTCTCTCATCTTTTCTATTCCCATTGTAAATATATATGAGATAACTATCCACTCTTGCAGGGAAGGCCAACGTTCCATTTTCACCAAAACGATATAATTAAACAGCATCAGGTACCCAATGTAAAACATCTGTAAAGAGAAAAAACCAGTTTACCTGCATATATGATTTAAATGTTTAGCTGATGTTATTGAAATCTCATTATTTCTAGTAATTAAAAAATGTTCTCCTTCAAGAAGGCCAATTTTTAGTTAAAGAATTCAATATAAATACAAGAGTATACACTGCGTACTATGAAATCCTATACTTACATTTTATGGATTTATTTTAAAAGTGCGTACAATTCCTTGACTGCAAGTGAAGCAAATGTATAATTGCCTAGTCTCTTTAAATGATTATAAGAAGCAAATCAGTTGATGAAGAAACATCGTTACTGCAAAAGTTTAACTTTAGCAATTTAAACTCAATTCAGTGGATTTTTATAAACTTAGTAAAAGAGCATATACCAGTTGCATCACTCTAAATCTATGAAGAGTAGTTATATAATGCAAACATACTGAAGAATGAAGCCTTTACAAATTAGTGTCATTGGAGATAAAATGATAATTGCTCCTTACAGTATAGAACCAAAATTTAACAATTGGTGCATTGTAGAACTCATAGATTTTTCGTCCAAAGGGGATCAATCTATGTCTGTTCTGAACTTCGTCCTCCTCCTTCTTTCTTGCTGATGACTCTCCATTGCTACGTCCCAACATTGCCTATAAAATAATAAAATATTGGATAAATGGATGAGAGGAAGCCGAATAGAAATGAATGTAATTTGATATTCATCATTATAATAAGAAAGCTGAGTGAAAAATCAGTACTGTATTGAAATACTGACTGCATTTTCAAACGGTAAACAGTACCACATCATCAAACAAAATCTAACTGCAATTCAGAAAATTTCTTGGAATACACAAAAAGATTGCTTCTATTTGTGTGATTTGTCATTCTCCTGATTAGTGTGTTTGAATCAGATAAAATGAAAACATACAACAGTAAGTGGAAGGACCATAAGACTGACAACTGTAATGTTGGAATAGCAACATAATAGGATCTGAGTGGTTGTGAAAGATACTTCACATTTGGATCCAATGTTGTTAGCTACAAGAACAGTATGTACCAATCGAACCAATCCTATTTCCCCTTTTCATATGTCTACCAAAAATGTGAAGTAAGACAACCATATCAGATCTTCCAAAATTTGCAGGACCTTTTAGTGACAGCAAAGAACTAAGAGTTTTCAAAATCTCTTTATTACCACCTACTGTCTATCTGTAGTTTTGCAATCCAGATACAATAGCCATGCACGGGAGAATACCGTGAAACAGATTTAGGGCATGTTAAAAGGGATGGAAGACAGACTAGAAGGAAGAAAATTTATGTAGAAGCTTAGTCTAACCCGATTCCCTAACATTTAGTGGTGATCCTTATGTTTATACACCGGGTATGGTAGTTCTAATTAGATGACATTGAATATGGTCCTATTTTTTTATATATATATAAAATGGAGTGCCATTCATTAGTGTTTCACAGGAAATTCCAAAGTATTTTCTTTAACAAACGAAGAGAGTAATGTATGAGGAAACAAAAGAAATGGTCTTTCTGAACCAAGAGAACACCCAACAGTATTATTGGTATCCTTCATTGATTTAGAGCAGGACTGTCAAACTCCTACGCGCCAGATGCATCACATGCCTATGCCCAGTTTAGCGACGCAGAACAAAGTCCTAATATGTCCTGTGACGCCACTGTGACTTTGACTCACTCTGTGACTATTTCACCCCTGATTTAGAGCTTTGGATATAAAATTAAATTTTAACAATTATTTGTTTAATCTATATATTCATTATAATAAATACATGATTAATAATAAATCATTATTAATGGTAGATTTATCATGCTGGATTGAGGCAGTTTAGAAAGATAATGTTTGATCTGTTGGAAGGAGAAAATACTTATGGATTGGCTTGCAATTAAATATATTTGCTAAAAGGAAAGATTATAGTTTTCTAATCTTACTTTTTCTAATCTTTTTTATTTATTGGAAAACATTTTGCCAATTCACATTTTTTTCAGCTATTTTTTTCCTATAAAGATGCAAGAGGACTTTTAAAGGCCATGACAGTTTTTAGAGAGACACACTTACTAACATGGAAAAGGGGCAAAATTAAGATTTGATCCAACTTTTTTCAGGAATGTTGGCAGAATATATCGTTAAAGATGTTGTAAATTACTTTTAGTATCTGATTATGGCATTTGTATTTTAAATTGTATTATTGCTTTAGTTTGCTTTTTGTGAATGTATAAGATAGCATAGTAATGCATAAGTTGATCAATATATTACTTAGGTTAAATAATTAAAATATTAACAATGAATAGCTGAATATTTTTGTTACAAATCCAAAATTGCAAACTATGTGAGGTCACCTTATCTGAAATTTAAAGGAATATTCTTGTGATTTCTTTCGGACATAATTAAAATTTCAAGATTTTTTTTTTATTATTTCACATACAAAAAATAAAGAAAATCTTCAATGAAAAATTGTCTGCAATGAAATAATCCTTTTGTCAGTTACATGAAAGAACTGGTGGAAATCAATCAATAGTTTATACCTGATCCAATTGTCCAAACAAAATGCAAATATCATTAAATAATATATATTATGCTAAGATAAGAAACATGAAAAAAGTATTTTAATGTATAATTATATTTCATTTATCTTTATTAGTATTTATAAAAATGGTCATTGTAGGTTTTTGTCAGCATAAAGTTTGGATTTTTGATTGATATTTTTTTAAAATAAAAAAGCAAAGTAGAAAAATTAAAAATGAAGTTATAAAAACAAAAATGTAGACAACACGAATAATGTTAATATATCATTCAGACATTTTGATGTCAATACATATTATGGCTACTAGGTTTTTCTAGAATTCCCCTTTACCCTTCAGTTTCAATGAGGAGAACATTATGGTTTTTCTTTTTAAAAAGGAAGGATCTATCTGCTCTGGTTACAGCATGCTTTTCTTCAAATGTGTGGTACAGTGATTTTAATCAGGGTTAGTTGGATATAATATAATATAATGTTTGATATTCTCCATGTCTTACTGCATATTGCTTCCTCATTCCTATTTTTCAAACTATTGTATCCTGCTTCCTTTCTAACATACTTGTTTAATATTCATGACTGCTCACCCGGGCAGTCTTTCAATCTCTCCTTTTTTCCTGCCAACAGCATTCAACCCAACAATGTGAACTTTTTGTTCATTTAAATTTAAAACAATTACGTATTTGAAGACTCTGAAAAAGAAAACCACAGTATCAGACTACTTCAAACCAACCACTCTGCTGTTGATTGAAAAAAAGTCTGATTACACTCATGATCCTTCCATGTATATTATACTACAGGTTCACTCATTTAATATTAGACATGGGGAAAATACAGGTGAAGGATTAAAGTCACAATAAGAGGAGGGAGAGGAAAACCATGCTACATCTGTTTTGGTAGTGGCATGCCGGAATTTTGTTCAAACAAAACATGGTACCGGAGGAAATCATTGGGCTGGAGTATGACAGAGACCAATTGCTGTTCACTATGATATAGACCCAGTAAACAATCTGTGCTTTTTGGATGTGAATCAGCACGTCATCTATTGATCGGAAGCCAGCAAGAATTAACTACTATTAAAGCAGAATAAGTTCATATCATAGGAAAGCAACCTGTCAATGTTATGCTGGCTTATGACCTTTTCCTCTTTTTCCAGGGTCCGGGGTCTTGCCTGCATAGGGGTCCTGTAGGTTGATCTTGTGCCTACGATCGTCTCCTTCCCTGAATTGTGGTTCTTGTAGTAGGCAGAGCCTTCTGCCTGCCCGCATATAAGATCCTGGGGATAGTTCTTGCTGGTGGCCTGAAGAAAATAGCCTCATTTTTAACAAGCAATCCAGTTTTAATGGCTTCTCTAAACTGAATAGGACACTGAAAGAAAGTCAGTAGATGTAAAAATACAAATAAATGCTTATAAAAATCTTATGCCAGCAGTGAATTTATGAATATTTGGATTATATTAGGGACTTTGATTCTCTGTTTTACGTACAATAAATTGATTTGAATTAGCCTTTCAAATTACTGGTCAGTGTTTGTCATAATAAACATGCTATCTAATGCATGTTTATAATGATTTAAAGAAAAGCAAATAAAATAACAAAAATAATAATAAAATGAATGAAAACTTAAGCCAAAGATTGACCCTAGTGGTATCAGAAAAGGCCAACCTATATTTTTTTACATTAATCTTTAGAGAAATAGATTTTTAAAAGCAACCACTTTCTGTAGTTTCAAATGTAAAATGATTTCCAAACATCCTATTTTTAATTTTTTAATCAAAACCCAAAATTGCTTAAAGCTTTTCTATAAAAAATAGCCTTTCACCTTTTTTGTGAAGCTATTGACTTTGCTTTGCACATTTTCAAGCTTTCACACATATTTTATTAATAATTGTATAATTGAAGTCATCCTAAAATGAGGGCAGAGGGATGGGCAGAATTAAATATTGAACATATTGTTTTAGGCACATTTCTGGAGTATATTTTCCTAATCATAAATGGAAAAGATATAGAATATAATGAACATAAATAATAAGGAACTGTATGCTAAGCATTATAGCTTTCAGTGGAAATATTTTTGTTTAGTTTTTGTTTTATTTTGTTTCAATGATTGCAGAGGGATTGTTGTTGACACTGATGTTGTATTCCAGCAGGTTTAATGGGCATTGTAGAGAATGAGTTTTATTCATTAAAATATTATTGGAATTTGAACTTAATATCAACTAACAACCATCTTTCTTTGTTTGTTAATTCTCTTAACTTTTTTTAAAAATAAAAACTGGATAATTGGGAACCTCCTATAGTTTTATTCAAGGTAACCTAAGATATGTTCTTCAAAAAAGTATTATAAATAACGATATGATAGAAACTCAATGTATAAAATATAAAATCACTAGTGCAATTTGGAAAGCATGGTAATTCATCTCAACATGTTTTTTCCTAATAAATATACTGTATTACGTTACATTCTAATTAGGAATTATCCCTGGTAATTATTAATATTTGGGTATAGTCTGTTTAAAGATGGATGCCTGGAGGAATGTATATTGAATTTCTCTGTGTGCCTTGATGACAACAATCAAAGAAATAATAATTATGCAGATCACTTCCAGCAAAGTCTTCTCCTTACTGTGAGTTCCATATCTTCCTCTTCTTTTTCTTTTACTGTTTTTTCTGGCTCTTCTGGCTCTTTTTCTTGCAGCTGGATCTCTTGAGCCTGAGACATGTAAGGCATATCGTCTTTGTTTTTGAACTCCAAGCTGAGAATTGAAGGAGGAAGTAGAATTCCTAGAATTACCTAAATCAATAATAATAATGATAACAACAATCACCACAATTAATAAGTTGCTCTTTTTGTTTATTATTACACATGCAATTTATGCATCTAGGAATGAGACATTTGGACATATAAGTTTTAAAATTATGTAACTATTTTGTAGGTAAGAATGAAATCAATAACTGATTTAGTACTCTATAAAGGTCCTTAAAGCTTTAAAATGAGTTGGCGATCCACCCTTTTGAGGTGCAAAGATATATGGCTGTTCTCTATTTTTAGAAACAATCAATACTTTATATTTATATGCTGATTTGACATATAAACTTTCCCATAAGTTTCACACTTAAAACAATCCTGACCTTTAGACTTGAGTTTTTGCGCATCCGAAGCCTCCCCATCCACATATCTGTGAGTAGCATTTGGCTACACGTGTGTGCAATGAAATCTCTATGCTTGGCTGCCACTGCAAGTTGCAGGCATGTGGCATTGCTCCAGTTCTTCAACTCATATGTCAGGAGTTTCATAGCCAGCTGTTCATCCTGCTTGTAGGATTGGTCCAGCAGCTCCACTGCCAGCTGGCCAAAATCTCTGTAAGAAACAGCATTTTTTTTTTAGCTTATGAATCTGTTACTGTTTGTGGCATCTAAACAACTGTTAACAGCTACTTCTGCAAGCATTGCATCACAGCCTAAGATCCTGAGAGCCCTTGCAGGTACTGTGCTTCAGATTAGACCCTTCATTAAATCACTTAATTTCAATTTTTGCTAGGAAACCTTAGCTTCCACTTGTCTATCCTCTCCTTGTTGCTAATCTAGTGGCTCTGATCTCATTTGTATCAGAACTCTGCGAGAGAATCAGATTTTCAATAATAAAAGTATAGTGTAATTTAACCAAGCTTTATAGGAAGTCTGGACTGACTATAGTCTTTATGATTAGAGGAAAGTCTGGAGCATATGAAGAACAGTTGCAGGAATTGGGTAGATTAGTCTAGTGAAAAGAATGACTAAGGGAGATATGATAGCAGTGTTGCAGTATTTGAGGGGCTGCCATAAAAATAACGGGGGTGGGGGGGGACTATTTTCCAAAGCACCAGAAGGCAAAACAAGAACCATTGGATGGAAACTAATCAAGGAGACAAGCAACCTAGAACTATGGAGAAATTTCCTAATGGTGAGAACCATCAGCAGAATGGCTTGCCTTCAGAAGTTGTGAGTACTCCATCACTGGAGGCTTTTAAGAAGAGACTGGGGAGCCATTTGTCTTAAATGATATAGATTCTCCTGCTTGAGTAGGGGGTTGGACTAGATGACCTCCATGGTCCCTTCCAACTCTGTTATTCTATGTAGTTCTACGAATTAAGTCTTAGCACCTTTCTGTCTGATGCTTTGGTAATTGTGGACATAATGAAGGACTGGATTTGACTAAACAGACTAAGTTTCCCAAAGGTGCTTTTTCAAGAGGCAACTGAACTTTCCGTTTTTTTTCTTTGAAGGTGTTTGGCTTCTCATTCAAGAAGTTTCTTCAGCTCTGAAGAAACTTCTTGAATGAGAAATGAACATGGGACAACCATGGCCTGGATGACTGAGAATCTCCATAGACATTTACACTGAATTTCATATGAAACAAGATTCCAATAATGATAACATAGGCTTGCCTTGGCAGATTTTATTACTCAGATATGGACATTTCTGTATTAAGAATACTCATAAAGGCATTTAGCATGCTCTGATTAATCAGGCCATAATTGTTATCAGCAGTCACTTATATATTTATAATATGAAGGTTAAACTATTGCAGTATGCTTTCTATAGGGTAGCTCTTTAAAGGACTGACATGTACGGATAATAGAAACTTCCTGATAGGGCTACTTAGGCTTTAGATTAGAATTCCAGTGTCTGCATTATTTTCTAAGCAGACTGTAAAGTATTGTTTTTGACCAATAAAACCCTGGCTTTTTATGGATAACTGGAAGATTGATTTTCCATGTTTCTAATAACGATCTTTGTTATAACTGTTTCCCCTTTTGCACGGCTAACCCTCAGTTCTAACAGTGAAGTCTTACAAGCCAATATTCTCAATGGCTGTTTGAACTGGTTCAGCTTAGAAGCATTGTTCTGTTCTACAAGGCCAGCCCATTGAGCCCTTAGCTTGGAATGAAATGTTTATTTCTCTTGCGAACCTTTCACTCATCTGGGAAAGTATTTGCAAACATTCCAAGAGGGAGCCCCTCATGCCAACACTGTTGACACTGTCTGGTTTTTCTCTTAGGATTTGGAAAGCATTGTGAAACTTCTAGTTTAAGCAGATCAGTAATAAAAAGAAGTGGTGTTATTTTATCTAGATTCTGTGTCATGCAAAATGGAGGACATCAATGTAACATTCATGAATAGCTCAACCTGGAGTTGTGATTAAGTTCCTGAGATATGTCATCCACCATATCATTTTCAGATGCTTCATGGGCCATTGCTTTGCAAAGTTTACAGGCTACCAGAGCCTTAGCCATGGCTTCCTCTCCATGTTGCCAGAAGAAAAGAGCCATCTTCTGGCGCTTCATCAGCACAGCCCATACCATCAGTTCATGAAAGGGGAAAGGGAAATGGTTAATCTCAGGATCATCTAGGTCTATATCCACTTCCTCTTCTCGTTTCTTAGTGGTGTTTCTTCCCCTCCGTAGTGGAACATCATCCTGATGAGCATAGAAAAATATTGTTAGACTAAAAGTATCTTTAGCAATATAATGTCATTCTTAAAAAGACAGTGAACTTGTTTCTTTTCTATAGTTGCACAGGAGCTTATCTGGATCTAATTATTCAGAAAGATCTCTCTATCTTTTTCCTTTCCCTCCTTGCAATGATAATGCCTAATAGCTTTCAAAACTGTATAAATTACTTTTAATTTATTTAACAGCAATAATTTAGAGATATACTTAACAATCAGCAAATAAGCACTCCAAAAATACTTCTCTGGTATGCCCAGTGCTGATTTAATACTCCTGGGAAAATCACTTTCAACATCCTGATGCATTTTCATCTAAATATAGAAATTTTAACAATATTGATTTAACAATTAGTTTCCTGATAATTTTTGAAGAAGTGTTTTTCCCCAAGAAATCTTGTATAACATTATAATTTTCTATACTGACTCTTACCTAATACTTCTGTTTGTGGTTGTTTCCAAATGCAGATATTTCAATGCATTATTCACTGAAACTATGAAATTTTATGAGAAGTCTTTAAATAAACTTTCCTGTCTCTTTTCCATAGTTATACATATGAATATGTGCACAGGGTCATAGATGAAAATTGACTTTCTTTACAAATTATCTTGCAAACATGTATTATTTTCCTGCCAGGATTTAAAGATAAATTTTAGGTATGCCTGATGCTCTAGGCATGTCCAGTGGGATGTTTGATTTCTTTTCCCTCTCTTCTTTCTTGTTCTGCTTCCGTCCTCTATGGTGGGAAAAGAAGCTCTGTTTGAAATCTTAAATTGCAAGTGTCCTTGAGTACTAGGTTACTAGGTTTTTAAAAAATCATGTAAGTCATGTATGAATCACAGTCCTGAATATATTTTGTTCTGTTGTAAAAGTTTCTAAAATGTCATTAAAATGAGCGACCTGCCACTTACCTCCATTCCCAGAAGTTTTAGGGCCTTGGGCTGTAGGTAAAAAAAGAAAAGAATAATTCTATATATAACTTTTTTTAAAAAAAAACAAGGGACTAAATAAAATCTATCCTGTTCATTCATCATTTTTGGATTCAGCATACATACTTTGCAAGCTTCTTGATGTTATTAGTGCAATTACTTTCTACTATATTTAACTGTTTTTACATATCCCTATTGTTTGGGAAAGATCTGTATTATTGCACAAAAATTCAAAAGTTCATTAAAGAAAAGTAAACTTTCCTTTAATAAAGTGGACCCTTATGTTTTGTTTTTCCTCCTGTCATTCAGCTAGGGCCAGAATTCAGTAGTTCATAATTATTTACTGTAAGAAATGCACTGGAAAATGAAAGGAAAGAATAATCATTGATATCCCATTGGTATTATCCAGGAAGAAAGAGGCTTGAGGATGGAGTGGGAAGGCTGGCAGAGATCTGGGACTAATTAGAGTAAGAGCTATGTCAATCCTTTGAGGTAGTCCAGGGCAGGAAACAAATAGCATAGGAACTACTGTGTAACTCTGCTTTATTATTATAGGATATAAAGCAGAAACTTGAAAGCTGGCCAAATTTTCCTTTTCCCTCCCTCTTACACCCAGGAAACACAAGACGGACCATCCTTGATTTTATTTCTCACTTCCTCCTCCCATTCCTGGGAATTTATTACTCCTATGCCTAAGGTGATGTTTTCACAGTAATTGGTGCATAAGTTTATTTTTGCATTCCTCTATGGCTATTTTATGAAAAGAATAGAGGAAGCAGGGACAAGGAACATGCTGAGGGATTTCTTGATGGAGGAGGGAGGAACTGAAATTAAATCTCAGATCAACCTACTTCATAAGGTTGTTATTATGGAGAAAAATACATATGTACTTGAGTTCCTGAGTGAAAGGAGCGATATCAATCAATACAACAAACAAATAAAAGACAGGACAGGAAAGAAATATATTTTTGTTACAGACTGTGTTTTTGGTATGTACTATGGGTTGACAATGAAAGAGGGTATGTAATAGAAGTAGATAATTTGAGTGTCTGTTAGAACAGGAAGGTGGAACATGACTTTAAAATCTAAAGTTTTAGAATTTAGGAAAGGAATGAGCTTTGAGTAAGTGTATTCAAAGGAAGGAATTTGTTCACAGAATGAGCTCAAAACACACCCTTTTTTTGTAATGAAGTAACTGGCTCAGCCCAGAATCATTATATGGCAGTGCCCATAAGAGTTTTTCAACATTCAAGATGTATCCAAAGGCCTAGTAATGTCATCTAGCTAAATCACCTCTCAACCCACCATCTTAAATGTATTTTTTTATGAAACAATTTTTAAAAACTCAATAATAACAATCCTTACTCTCTTGGGGCCAAATAAGTTGTGATAGAGTGTTCGGAAGCGTTTTCGAGTATAATTGCAGCGATAAGCTCCTCCCATCAGGTACTCAATCACCAGGCCAATATCAATTAGACTTATCCTATAATCTGGTGGTAGGTTTCCCTATTTTTTTCCAATAGAATAAAAGACACACAAAACAAGGGAGGGGGGAAGATACAAGTGATTATTTAGTCTATTGCACACATTTTTCTATAACTATGAGAGTTTTAAATGAAACATAAGAAAACATATTATTATACTTATTAATTAATTCACCTTAAAATAGATCCAACCGAAACCTGGATATTCACGCTTGGAAAAAAGACATAAATTAAGTAAGAAAATGTGTTAAAAGATAGCAGTAACAGAAGATAATAAGTTTCAGAACACAGGATTTAGGCTATTTTGAGAAGAAAAACAGGATACACTACTGCAGAACAAGGAAAGCATGAAGGCAAAGCATTTTACAGAAACTCTATGTATTTGCTAGAACCTGGTGGTATCCCAAATAAGCCATACAACAGTCTTATATCTGAGCAATATGTTTATTCTCTGGTAAATATCTTGGGGTCTTCCTGCTTCTATCACGCTTCTAAGAATGTCTTTTCCAATCTTAGTCCTGGAACAGGAAGGCAACTTTATCATAAACAGATGCTGAATGCTTTAATCACAAGTTTTGCTCTTTTATTGAATATTAAATATTTATTAATATTAATTAAATAATATTAAATAAATATTAAATACTGAATATTAAAAATTTAGCAGAAGTCTCCATTCTTTAATTTCACTTTTACTTCCTAAAACACCAAAACTGTCTTCAAACACATGGTTGACAATTAAAAAGTGAAAAATCCTTATATATACCTGCCTGCAGGAATCAAAATTCTTTCACCTGAAGTTTTGGTTACTGACTTTTTTGTCCTGCAACTTCAAAAAGGAAATATATTTGGCTGTAATGTCAGTGAAATAATATCTGGTATCTAGGAAAAGTGTGTGCAGAAGAATTTATTTTCACTTTTTAGAGACAAATCTATATGACAGTGAATATTTCCTCATTTTTTCGGTGATTCTAATGTGTTCTCATTTAAATAAAAGTTGATTTCAGTTATATCTAATTATTTTCATACACTACCTGTCATTTAGTGCCAAAATTCATCGGTTACCTCATTACTTAGCACTGAGTGGGCCAAATAATGAATTTACCTCATAAGCCATTTTTCAGATCTTGTTCCACTGACTTTCAATTCTCCTAATATCAAAAAGGACATGTTTCTATGTTATTACTGCAATGCAAAAACAGTTTACAACCCACCCACCCCCATGTATAGAAAGCATAGGCCCATTGTTCTATATACAAAATCTTTCACTTCAGTGGTGGGATTCAAATGTTTTTACTACCGGTTCTGTGGGCATGACTTGGTGGGCGTGGCTGGGGAAGGATACTGCAAAATCTCCATTCCCCTACTCCCACCCCACTAACCTGCTTTCCAGCTCTGTTCTCCTGTGAAGGGCAACAAAAGAAGACCCAGCTGATCAGCTGGGACTCGAGAGGCAGAAAATAGATGGGGGTTGGGCCAGTCAGAGGTGGTATTTGCCGATTTTCCAAACTACTCCAAATTTCCGCTACTGGTTTTCCAGAACTGGTCAGAACCTGCTGAATACCACCTCTGTTGCACATGCTTATTTGTCCTCTTTAAATAAATATATTGTTTCAAGAATGATTGTATAGTTGAAGTAACCTGCACTTTATATGACTAGTAAATAAACAAAAAATGCCATTTTGAGATTATTACTGTAATTATGCCTATATTGCCTGTCTAGGATTTATATGATGAGCTATTAATCCTAGTGGTTCTAAAGAAGTGATTGAATCAAATTTATAGAATCTTGTCTATTGCCAATTAAAATAACATGAGCATAAAACAAAGTTTTTGTGTCCAAATATTTTAAATAATTACACAATCTATTGGTATGTTTACTAAATTTTATTCTACTCAGGTATCAATCCGATAGCTACAAACTGAGAATCATTCTTCTGATTTTTTTTTCTAGATTAGAAGGCATCCAAACTTATTCGAATAATATCTGAATACCCAATAAAAGTGAAATATTTCTATGATATTATGACTCAGATTGTAAGGCTTAGTCATAATTTTGTTTCTTCTAGAATAGGGGTGTCAAATTCACGGCCCACCGGCCAGATGTGTCATGTGCTGCCCCCCCCCTGCAGTTTAGCAAAGGGGAAAAAAAGTCCCGATACATCTTGTGATGCCGCTGTGACAACATGAGTTTGCTATCCCTGTTCTAGAAAAACCCAAAAATAATTCCTTTCTCTAAAACTTTTTAAAGTATAGCCTGAATATGTTGATTCTAATAACATTTCATTATTTAAGAACTTTATTGCTTTCTTTGAAAAGCAATTTCTACTCAAATTGCTTTCTGCTTTTAAATTGACATGCTAAAGACTAAAAATAAATTGTTAGAAATCCAGAAAGTGATTTCTACAGATGCAGAACCTTACTGGTCATGAATTAGTCAGAAAGATATCTTACTAAATATATACCTAGTAAGAGAGAGGCAAAAAAAAAGGGTAGAAATGTTTACTATATGAACGTTAGAGGGCACTCTTTAGCCATCAAAGTTCCCAACATGTTTTCCTTTTGTTATCTGAGTAATCATTAAACATCAAATTTGGCACAAAAGTAGTCATTATAGGTCAAACACTTTTGTGACTAATGACTTGTTGTCAGTGCCCTTGATATTCAAATATAGGAGAAATGGTCTTTATAATAAAATAAAACAAATAAATAAATAAAAACGGTGAAAAGGCCATATTGTCCATTCTTTTCCATAAACTCACTAGAGCATGAATTTATTTAGAACAGGAATTCAAGAGTTATCCATGATCTTTCATTATTATCACTTTTAAAGTCTTTTAATATAAGGAAAAGTGCAAAATTTTGCCATTTTTGCTAACTCCCCTTTCCTTGCATGCAAGCAAAATTATTTTTATGGTTACTTGAATGGTATTCTCTTTGCACCCTTTACAATTAGAAAGAAATGATTTTCCTTAACATAATTGGGGCAAAGACTAACTCCAATATTAGGTTCTGCTCACAGTGCAGTTTTATAGTATTGAAAAAACTGGATTTTGTTACTTAAAATATATAACTGCTATATCCACTCAAGAGCTTTTTTTGGAATTTTTCATATGCAACTTTATATGTGCTCTCATTCTGCTTTATATTTAGCTGTTTAATTTTCAAGTATCATAAAGGTACCAGAAATGTACATACTAAAATTATTTTTCAGTCTTAATATTAAACTGCTCTTCAGCAGAAGAAAGTGAATATAATTTATTTCTCTGGGTAATACTTATACTTGCTTCATTTTAACAAATATTTATTTGTTTTTAAAGGGCTACAATAAATGTTAAGCTACCGGAAATAAAAATTTATCAGAATAAGATAAGTTGCTTTAGACAGTCATCTGTCTCTGTCATGGGCAGTAAAACATTGTGCTGTCAGCATAATTGATATGTTGCATTAGGAGGTTATTTTCTAGAATGCCATTTCATTTAAATTGATGTCAGATTTGTTGATAGATTCAGAAACTGAAAAGAAAGAAATGTTATCACTCAGGTATAGGTCTGCAGGAAATCATCTAATATCTTGTAGCATAAACATTTTACTTCCTCATTATTTATGAAGTGAGGAAAAAATCGCTGTCTAATGCAACAGATTTCAAGTTGAGACCAAAAAACATACAAACAACAGGTGTGTGTATGTGTGTGTGTGTGTGTGTGTGTAAAATTCTCTTGGCCCCAACTTGAAATTTGTTGCATGAGATAGCATATATACTGTATTTTTTGATCTATAAAACACTCCGGACCATAAGTCGCACTTTAGCTTTAGAGGAGGAAAACAAGAAAAAAAAAATCTGCCTCCGCCTCCCAGCTTCCATTGGTATTCATCTGGCTAGTATACTTGTAGCAAACAGCCTGGTCACATTCAGCACATTATCGCAGCCTGATTTAGCACGAGCAGATGATTGACAGTTGGATCAGCCTCCTGGAATACGCCGATCAGCTGCTCCAAGTGGCACAGATTGCCGCTGCTGATCACCGCCTCCACGCGCCCTATTTTCGGCCTCTGCATGCCTCCATGTGTCCCGTTTTTGGCCCGTTCCAGGCAGCAGGGATCCCCGACACCACCTATCAACACTGTCTATCGCTGCTGATCACCACCTGGAATGAGCCAAAAATAGGGCATGTGGAGGCCAAAATGGGGTGCACGGAGGACAAAAGCAACCGGTGGGTGGAGCTTCAGCAATATTTGCTCCATAAGATGCACAGACATTTCCATCCATATTTGGGAGACAAAAAAGTGTGTCTTATGAAGCAAAAAATATGGTGTGTGTGTAAGTGTGTGTGTATGTGTGTGTGTATGTGTGTGTGTGTACATACACACATACATACACACATATATTTATACAAAAATTGCTTCTTGTAATTAACAATAAAAAGAACAGGAAAGCAAAAAGCTTAAATTAAATTAAACCCTGACTAGATTAGGCAGTACTGTGCTGCATATTCATGAAATTTTTGGTTGTAAAAAGTTATGTTATTGTCCCAACAGACATTTAGCTCTTTTATTGAAAAAAATTGTTACACATTTTGCACTGGTTCTCCAAAATTAGTATTTCATAAATAAAGTAACAAATGTAAAATAAGTTCCCCAAAAAGTTTTCCCCCCGCTTCCAAGTATATTCAAACATTTCAATGTTTTCCTCAAACTTCTGAATTACTTATGATTTAAAATTCTTTAAATGTTTTGTTGGACGCTCTGTCTCTGTGTTTTTGTTTTACAAAAGTTTAAAGGGCAAACCATTTTAAATCTATATTTTTCTCATTTTCTGGACATCCATGTTTTAAGGCAAAAGCACCTTAAAACTGAAATCTACAAAAATGTAAATTTATAGTTAATGGTCTTTGGGTTTTATGCATATGTTTCAAACTCCAGATGATTATAAGATTGTGATCAAGTACATAGGAACGCACTAGGCAATAGATATTAAGTTCCCCTGTTTTAGTACGTATTTGTCGCCTCCTCACCAATTTCTAAATAATCAATTTATACTTTTGTCAGCAAAAAAAAATTGTGGGATGAGGTTTTATTTGGCTAATGTTTTGCTCTGGTTTTCCTCACGATTATTCTTATGGGCAGATAGAAGTGAGGCTTTCTTATACCATTTTAAAGTTGCAGCTTAATTTATATCATTGTATCTCCATGAAGGAAATCAGTGCCCAACATACAGCATGAAGAAGCTGTAAGAATTGCTACCAAAACCTGTAGGGCCAACAATTTTCTTTTCACTCTCTTTTTCACTCTGCTGCTAATCATGCAAGAGATGGAATATGATTGAGTAGGATCCAAGACAAATTGATAAAAAACACAATGTCCTTCCACCAGTCCCTTTAAGTAGGTTCAGTCACACAAACTGAGTTATATCTAAACTGTTTTCTTTTTAAACTTGCTACTTCAAAAGGCAAGAGGCTTTATAAAAAAACAGCACTTAACAAAGCTGAAAATAATGCAATCATTCAATATCCAGCACAACAATAATATATATTGCAATGTCCAACACTGGCCCACAATATGGAAATCAGCATTCATAACACTGATGGCTATTAAAATACATCTATTGCATAAATCCACGTCACATGAAAAACACCTACAGTCCACTAGCAGAAGCAGTATACCTAAAGCGTCTAAAGTAACCACTAGCAGCCACTAAATAGTTAACTGTATTGTACACAAGGCTGAGAATCATTACAAACACATAATGTACAACTGCAATGGCAGAAGGTGGAAGAAAGCTCATTGGTAGCCCATGCAAAACAGAGGCTGTCTCTAATGACAAGAAGCAGCTATAATATTACCTTCATGTTACTGTCCACCTTTGGACTCTTACCTTTTTGACATCTCTGACAAGGTGATACAAAGTGTTGGATGGCCCATGTCTCTGAAAAGGATAACAACAAACAGCTTAATAGTTCTGATGTATTTGAAAAAGCTATTTGGATTAAAGGACAGAGTCCAACTAAAAAAACTCATAACACCCAAAGTACTGAATGTGACATTAAGAATGTGTAGTTTCTTAATATCTTACAAAACACTTGAATCAAAAGAAGAGAATATCTGTAGCTTATGGTTGAGCTTTGTTATTTTTTTTGCAAATGTTTCATTACCCAGCTAGTGCTACAGTAGTATAGAGTGGGGTTTATATACAAAGAGCAAACCCCACTCCCTTCTAGCACTGTGACCTAGTTACCCTAAGCTACAAATATTCTCTTTTGATTCAAGTTCATCCGTATGAAAAGATTTAGTTGCGCCATACTAATTTTTTAAAAGATGTTCCATGTTTGTGTTTAGAATGGGTGGAGATAGAAGTAGACTTAATCCAATTTGTTAATGTGGATCAAAAGGGACTAAGCTGTTCTTAGTCTACTAAGTCTACTTAGTTTACTACTAGGTGAAAAGTTGAGTTATGGATAAATAGTACTAACGGCCCTTAACTATTTATATTAACTATCTATACTACTGTGTATTATATATGCCTGATATAGAGTTTACCAAATCATGCAATTCTTGATTTTTTAAAAGGAGTTAATGTTGGGGAGTGATTAAGAAAACAGAGCAGGAGGCAAGGTATACTGACTTCTGCAGTTAGAATAATTAATCCTTGATATTATACCACCCATGCATTCTGAGATAGACTTAAGATTACCATTATTACTCCCCATTATTAGTAAATGAAAATCAAGCAAAAATTCAATCAGCAGCATTACTTTTTCTGACAGCATGAGGAAAATGGCTGATTATTGAATTTTTGCTCATCTTTTAAATGAAATACATGAGTTACAGCCTGCTGGTAAGTGAAAATTTTATTGTTTTGACAACAAGGCAGCTGGTGTTCCCTGAGAAATAATAGGAACCAAATAGAACATTTGAAATGGTCTGCTTTCGCCTAGCCAATTCAGTGGTGTTTTCAAAATAGCATTTTTTTAAAAAAAGCAATTCATCTTGGGAGCAAATTATTTTTAACAGAATCCAAACTATAAAAGTGTACATGTGTTTTTTTTAAAAAGCATGTTATACACTTGTATTGGGGTTTAATAAAAGAAGCAGGCAAAGCATTATGAGATTTTGTTACAGGAACACTTTAAGGAAGGCAAGCATTATTTCAGGAATGAAGAAATTGGATTAATTTCTGGGCTCCATGCTAGGGATTTGAAGAGAATTAAATAAACAAATAGGGCCCCTACCGTATTATACAGCTCTTCTAGTCTGGAGATGGTGAGAAAACGATGCATGCTTACTCCATTTTCTATAAGCAACTTCACAAAATCCACTCTGTCTAGCACCAGGGCATCCAACATTGCCTGTTCAAGGGACCCCACCTAAAAAGGAAATAGATTAATCAGGGAGACCTTGTGATCAATGGCAAAAGTTTATAGAAAAAGGTTATGGAAATATTTTTCATTTTCTTATCATTTAAAAAATAGGTTCCACATAACATTATTTTTCAATACAATTTTGGGATGTTGTAAGTTTCTTTTTACTTCTATTCTCTTGGTGTGGACATCTATCAGTTTTTACCAACCTGAATAAATGGTATCATTTATCATTAAATACATTAACCCTAGCACAAAATATTGAGGGAGTCTTAAAGCTTGCACTTCTCCATTGGAAGAATTATTCAGTATCCTCCATTTTCTGTTCTTCAGTTTTATCAATTGTGAGAGGACATATTCTGTTGGTCAAACTTTATGGAATTGTTTTGGAAATTTAAGTACGCCAGATTTACCATGAACATTATCAAAGTTCTCAACAGTTGAAAAATTTAATCTGGGAATTCATTATATTATCAATAATACTTGCTTATATGTGATTCTGTTCAGGTTTTACCATAGTGTGTTCAGTCAAAATGGAAGAAGTAATGAAGAGCACTTGCCTTTTCCTAGTTGTACTGGTGACATAAATGAAATGATGGTCTCCACATTACAACATGATTGTCTGTGGCAGGGAGCATTCACACATAACAATGCTTCCATTGGACAATTCTGACTTCTAGCTTATGTGGAAATGATCACATATACAGCTAGCCTTCTTACTGAAGACAATTGCCCTTTCTGCCACTAATCCTCCTCCAGGTTCATCCATCCCAACCTATTCAACAACTTGCCATTAATTTCTCTTTCTGAAGTTATTATATTACCCTTCCATAACAGTCAGAAATGCTATTCATCCCTCCCAAATTTTCAAGTTTTTCTCTCTGACACAGAAGCTGAGATGGGAATTGTTGAATTTTTTGAATAACTGAAGAGTCTGTATCTCAATCGCATCTGCTCCATTACTTGTTGTATTTGTATATCTGTGGCACATGTGCAAAATTACAGGTGTGCAAAAACATTTTTTCAACCTTGTTATTTGAGGTTTCGTTATCTGGAGTTGCTGAACTGGAACACAGCTTCTCAAAATATATATTGAAAGAGAGAACAAAAGTGTATGATATGACATTTCAGGCATCTCAAGAGGCAGACTGAAAGCTTAAGCCACAATAAATATATTTGTCCTTAAATAGATTTTTTTTCCTACAAAATATAAAATAATTGGTTATGTTGTATTTTAACAGCTCCACTAGATGACACTATTTCCTACAAGAAAAATTATGGACATCTTTATTATGATTACATGACAATCTGTTTATGTACCAGATTCTCTCTCTCTCCCCTTCCCTCCCTGTCTTCTCCCCCTTGAAAATAATAACCATGCTCAACTGGAAAAGTATTTAATAACCATATAGATACCGTACCGGCCACTGTTGCCCATAAATAAAAATCTGGCTGCGAGCAATGTCTACCCTGTTCCAAGCTAAGGCCAAACTCAGTTGATCTGGAGCAGAGGCATTCGCTCCTGTAGAAATTGAGAAGAATAAGAATATTCAATTAATTCAACACAGTCAGTAGCAAAACAAATCCTCATGAGAAATTAAAGGAAAAGAAAGTAGACATATGGTCCGAATGAGAATTATTACAATGATATTTATATAATTTTCTTACGGAAGTTAGCAATTTAGTTCAAGATATTAAAAAAACCCAGCATGCCTAATATTTACCTGCATATTTTCAAAAACTAAGATTATAAATTAAAGGTCTCATTGTTACAAGGAAATAGTAACTAACAAATTCATTTTTTTTCTAACATTGATAAGCTAGGGTTTATATATGCAGATTTGTGGGGGGGGGGGGTTTGGAACCACCTCCCAACAAAAGGGGGAGGAGATAACAGTAAAGAAACTTGTATTAATTCTGCTTGTTAGATTAATCAATCTAATGTTAAAAGAATCTTTCAGAGGTCTCCTTTGTATATTCCTCTCAGATACTAAACTCAGGAGTTTGCTTACTCAAGAAGGAGGCTCACAAACATAACTTAGCTTGTTTAGTTATTGTAGACAGTAACTAATTGTTTGAAAAAATACTTTCCTGTGTATACAGAGAACAAAGTTTATGCAACATTTTAAATTGTAGATTATTTTCTGCCTTTCCAATGGTCACGTCAGTGGCCATTTTTGCTGCCCTTTTCAAGGCCATCAGAGGCAGCTGTCTATACTGACATGGCAGTCCTACCAAATCTGGGAACTATGGTTCCTATGTTGCCAATCTCTTTCCTAGCAATTCCATTCCTTGTTAAAGCACAATACAAGTAGTCCTCGACTAACAGCCACAATTGAGCCCCAAATTTCGGTTGCTAAGTGAGACAGTTGTGAAATGGATTTTGCCGCATATTACAACTCTTTCTTGACACAGTTGTTAAGTAAATCATTGCAGTTGCTAAGTTAGTAACACGACTGTTAAGCAAATCTGGCTTCCTCACTGACTTTGCTTGTCAGAAGGTTGCAAAAGGGGATCACATAACTCTGGGACACTGCAATCGTCATAAATATGAGTCAGTTGCCAAGTATCTGAAGTTTGATCACATGACCATGGGTGTACTGCAATGATCATAAGTGTAAAAAGTGGTCATGAATTACTTTTTTCAGTACCATTGTAACTTCAAACAGTCACTAAACAAAACGTTGTAAGTTGAGGACTACCTGTGCAGAAAACTAACCAGAAATAAAGGATAAAATTGCCTCTGTTTTAAAAATTAAAAGCCAGAATAGATGCAATTAGTGGAAACTGGAACATTTCCAGTTGTTTTGTAATTGAAATTGGCAACTGGGTAGTTAAGAGAAGTGGTTGCTGAGTCAAATTGCCAATGTGCTTAGGATCTTACTTCAGTTTTCCTTTGCTTTAACAGACCTGTCAAGGTCACAAAAGGAAGGATTGGTTTAATATTTCCTTTTCATCACTATCATAATTGCAAATGGATGCTAAACAAGGACTATATATGTGATTGTTTTTTTAGGAAGATAATTTGCTGGGATTTTGTTAACAAAGCAAAAAAACCTGTCTTATTGCAGAATTTGTCTCACAAAAACTTTTCAGGGAAAACAATATTTTAGAGCTTTTTTAAATTTTAATTTAATAAACTGTATTCTATGTGTTTGGAACTTAACCAGGGGTGGGATTCTACCAGTTTGCACCTATTTGCTAGAACTGGTTGTTAACATTCTAAGCAGTTTGGAGAACCGGTTGTTAGAAGAAATTACTGACCTAATCCTGTAAGGAAGGCAGGAAGGAAACATTCTGGTGTCGCTTACAGAAACTGCCTCTTCATTAACCCTTATTACATTCTTGGCAGGACTACACTTCCTGTCTCAAGAAAGTCTCTGGAGTTTTTTTCCCTTCCTTTGCTGGTACTTCGCTTGTGTGGAGTTTGACCATTCAAAGTTACAATGGCACTGAAAAAAGTGACTTATTACCGTTTTTCACACTTACGACTGTTGCAGCATCCCCACAGTCATGAGAGGCCAGGTGAGGAGACGCGTGCCTCGATGTGAGTGATATTGAGTTGGCCACACCCAGCCAATAACATGATTACCAAGCCACGTCCACCAACTTAGCCATGCCCACAGAACTGGTTGTTAAAAAATTTGAATCCCACCCCTGAACTTAACATATATATGCATACAAGAGAGTAACTGAACAGTATCGGCATAAAGAAACAAAACAAAGTATATTTTGTAATTCAGGAGGAAGAAGCATGTAAGAAATGTATAACATTATTTCAGGTCACTGAAAGATTCAAAAGTTAAAGTAAGATGAAAAGTGACATGAGTATTGATGCAGATAAAATATCAGTCACGGAGCTGTAATGAGATTTCCAGTGCAACTGTAGCTCTTCAATGGCCTTTATCAAAGGTTTGGATTAGATTGCTACATCACAAAGCATGTGAATGAACGAATGAATATATTAGATATAATGTAATACATTTTTAGAAATTAGATCAACAGATCTTGTAACAAGGAAGAAAACATCCAAAAGTGGTAGACTGAATTGTCCAGGGCAGCTAAATTATCAGAAAATGAGAAAATATACAGATTTTAATCTTACAAATGTCATTTTGTATACTTTAGCAGTCATATATGTTTAGTTGAAATATCCAACTCTGAATCAGTGGGAATTTGCCTGTGAATCTGCTGAGGATAATATTGTATGTGCTCTCTATGAAAATGTATGAAATCTGAACATGTTTAATATAAAGAGGAAACTATAATGAAAGATATCAGCTGAAAAAAAATTACTGGTTTCATACATGGTACCAAAGCATTGCTTTTTAAATAATGGCCTTTTGGAAAAGCATAAAGCATAGTTAATAAATTTAATGGCTAAGTTAGTATATCATGCCATAGCAAAACATAAAACCCAAATGGTTAACTTAATGTGTGAACACAAACAAGTGCATTTTTTATTCTGGGGAAGCAATTAGTATCAGCCTCTCTTTTCCTCTTTCCCTTCCTTGCCTGGGTCTCTTAAATTCTGGAAAAATTTAAATTCTGGGGGAAAAAAAGCCTTGGAACCTTTTTATTAAAAAATGAGGGAACTGTTGTTTTTTTCTTTATATAATTTGAACATACTACTCCGATTTAAGATTTCTGGGTTACAGTTGATGCAGCATGATTTTATGCCTATCATTTCTACCTTATTTTGTCTTTTCATATTAATCAATCCACTGCAATCCTACTGTTGGGCAGGAGGTAAATTCTCTATTTTGCATTCCCCATTTCAAGGGGAGTAAAACCTGATCGAGGCAGAGAAGTGGTTCCGAGATTCATCACGTGGTTTTTGTGCTGTTGCTAGGATACTCCCTTCTTGTCTGTCTGAGTTAGAAAGCTGTCTCTTGTGACTCTCCAGTGGATTTGCATCAAGCCAATGCTATATCGGAGCACAGCAATATCTCTGTTGCTGCATGTTTCCATTAAATGCCCAGATT